TTCATTTCGTGCTAAGCTTTGCTTCAAATCTCACACCTGAATCCTGCAGGAAAAGCTCAACAAGTTTTTACATCAATCCTCATCATTTATGTAACTTGTACGCAATTAACTTAGTAATTTAAGACGATGCTTTTTCGTCGTTTTCCTTTCTTTAAAGAATATATATATATATAAATATATATAGCGGATGTTTCCGTTACTTAACGAAGGAAGCATGCTTTCTGAAAGAATACTTGGAATTAACATGTTTTATGCTCAAAATATTCTCTTTAGGAAGATTTCTCAGAGTCAATTTTCATACGTTTACTTTAATTTTGAATAAGTCGTAGAGGGTAAATGTAGGGTGACCATCTGCGTAGTTTTACAACGGACAGTCCTGTATTTCAAAACCCTGTCTTGTATAAATTTGATTGAAAATTTTGTTCCAGGTCCTGTATTTTTTTTACGAAAATTTCCGTTAATTTTCAAATTTTCCTTTGTGTCCTGTATTTTTTTGGAAATTTATCAAATGTCCTGTATTTTCATAAAAATTAGATGGTCACCCTAGGTAAATATGACTAAAGATAATTCATTCTTCTTGGAAGTGAGAAATAAATTTGCATACATCTTAAACCTGGGTAGCCCTAAATACCTACCTCAGGTTCTAAACAACACGAAGAAATGTCTAATTACATAGTTTTCTTTTTAACTTAAATTTTTGGTATTTTTTTTTATAGAATCATAGTGTAAAAATGTCATGTTTATTGCATTTGATTTATATAGACTAAACGATTTTAAAAGCAGTTTTCCAAATCCCTAACGAGCGAATAATTCAACACTTAAACAACAGAAAGGCAAACTTCCGAAAACTTTTAATTGCTTTGAAAAAATTCCTTTCAAGACAATTAACCTCATTAAAATATTTTAAATATACATTACCTAAACATTTTCCTTACTTTAAAAGCACTTTTTATTAACAAGAGTCATCGTCCATTGATGAACAAACAATTTTTGCAAGAAGAGAACATGAGACAAAAGCATTTATTTTTTCTTGTACTTTTTAATTAATGACTCCTGAATTTATTAAAACAGAATTATAAACCACGCTTATAAATGACAAGTGCACGAATGGAGAGTGAAAGCGGTCCATGGATGATTATGATAAAGATGATGATGTGGTTCACGAGGATCTACATTAAATATTATATTCCTCAATTTAATTCCAATGCACGAAAAAAAAATTGGGATTGAGACATCCTGAATAAAATCCGAATTATATAACTATAACAAAACTTCAAAAATACAAAAATATAAGTATATTTTGAAGCTGAGCACCACAAAATTCGCCTATACAAAACAGTAATCGTGTGGGTTACAAAAACCAAAAAGTGAACAAAGAAAACCAGATTAAATGCTATTTTGTTCAGGATAGCTTATCAAAAACCTATCAAAACGACGATATTGTGTCTATATATAAGTAATTAACATTTATGTTCGGGTGGAATTTGAATTGAGTTCATTGCCTTTTTGTGATGAAAATAATATATTGAAGACTAGTAGTTGACATATTTGGATAGCAAAGCATGACTACATAATTTGCAATATTGTTAATATTTATTAAAATAATAATAAGCTTTCATACTCATTATAATTAGACATAATTTAACGTACAAATAATTTTGAAATGTACGAAGATGTTTCATTTGAGTATCAAATTTTACTTCCGTTAAAATACCAAGCGGTGGTTTATTTCGTAAGGAAATACTGTCATCTGTGATGAAAACAATTTTTAAAGCTTTTATGTCAGAATAATTCTAGGTAATAAAATTCAGAATCAAAGAGATAAGTGTGCCGAAATTTCAAAGAGAATTTAAGATTTTCATACATTCCATTGAGAATTTTTTGATGCTGCACGTACGTGTCCATCAAGTAGAACGGTGACCTAACGAGTTAAGTGATGTACTATATATGGGTTTTTTGTGCTATTTTGTGAAAGCAGAAAAACAACCTCTTTGAATTTTGTGAAGATTCCAGGTCCGAGATATGAGCATTTGAAAACGGAGCTAGGTCCGATTTTTCACATTCTTACTTTTTCAACTTTATCTCAAGCAAGACTAAACGAAAATTGTTGAAACCTTGCCTGTTTTATGTGCAATTGACCCTTAATCAAATAAACTTAACAAAAATATTTTAGGTTCCATAGTTGTAAAGATATGGCGATTCTAAAATGCAACCTAGTGCTAAATTAGCTATTTTTTTATATTTTTTACTGTAAATCTGGTAAATCTTGATAAAGAGTGATCAAACTTGGCCAGTAATTTGTGCAAGTGTTCTTCAATCAAATAAATTTAACAAAAAAATTTTATGTCAAATAGTTGTAAAGATATAGCCATTTTGCGTTCCAGCCTAGTGCAAAACTAGCTTTTCGTTCTTACATTTTCAACTGTAAATCCGGTAAATTTTGATAAAGAGTGTTCAAACTTGGCCAGTAATTTGTGCAATTGGCCCTTAATCAAATAAACTTAACAAAAATATTTTAAGTTCCATAGCTGTAAAGATATGGCAATTTTATGATTCAACCTAAGGCAAAATTAGCTACAATTTTACATTTTTGACTGTAAATCGTATAAGTTTTGATAAAGAGTGTATAAACTTGGCCAGTAATTTGTGCAATTGGCCCTTAATCAAATAAACTTCACAAAAATATTTTAGGTTCCATAGCTGTAAAGATATGGCAATTGTACGATTCAACCTAGTACAAAATTAGCTAATACAAGCATAGTAGAATCGCCATATCTTTACAACTATAGAACCTAAAATATTTTTGTTAAGTTTTTTTGATTAAGGGATTTACAGTTGAAAATGTAAAATAGTAGCTAATTTTGCCTTAGGTTGAATCGTAAAATTGCCATATCTTTACAGCTATGGAACCTAAAATATTTTTGTTAAGTTTATTTGATTAAGGGACAATTGCACAAATTACTGGCCAAGTTTAAACACTCTTTATCAAAACTTATACGATTTACAGTCAAAAATGTAAAATAGTAGCTAATTTTGCCTTAGGTTGAATCATAAAATTGCCATATCTTTACAGCTATGGAACCTAAAATCTTTTTGTTAAGTTTATTTGATTAAGGGTCAATTGCACAAATTACTGGCTAAGTTTGAACACTCTTCATCAAAATTTACCGGATTTACAGTTGAAAATGTAAGAACGAAAAGCTAGTTTTGCACTAGGCTGGAACGCAAAATGGCTATATCTTTACAACTATATGACATAAAATTTTTTTGTTAAATTTATTTGATTGAAGAACACTTGCACAAATTACTGGCCAAGTTTGATCACTCTTTATCAAGATTTACCAGATTTACAGTAAAAAATATAAAAAAATAGCTAATTTAGCACTAGGTTGCATTTTAGAATCGCCATATCTTTACAACTATGGAACCTAAAATATTTTTGTTAAGTTTATTTGATTAAGGGTCAATTGCACATAAAACAGGCAAGGTTTCAACAATTTTCGTTTAGTCTTGCTTGAGATAAAGTTGAAAAAGTAAGAATGTGAAAAATCGGACCTAGTTCCGTTTTCAAATGCTCACATCTCGGACCTGGAATCTTCACAAAATTCAAAGAGGTTGTTTTTCTGCTTTCACAAAATAGCACAAAAAACCCATATATAGTACATCACTTAACTCGTTAGGTCACCGTTCTACTTGATGGACACGCACGTACATACATGAGAATACATACATTAATCAAATTAGTAAGAAAATATGTTTTGTTGAAATTTGTTAAAATTTTTGATATCAGTGACGTTTTATTATAAGATAAATAATCTGATATACCTAGATTTCAATATCAAATGGCTCGAAATACTTTGTTTCAAAATCAAAAGAGCAATGATCTAGTATTTAAATTTTTAACATGGTCTTTTAGAAATAAAAACTTAAGCAACTATAAAAGATGTAAAAGCATCGAAAATATTTAAAAACAATCATTTTTTTATTTTTATATTTTCATTTTATTTCCATTATTTGAGTTGCGCATTGAGATAAAAAAGCATCTTCTTTGACTAAATAAGCGTTGAATTTTGTGTTAACATCTTCTCGTTTACTTTAAATTTCCATAAATAACTGCGAAAATTCACTTAGTCTCTTATTTCACCTCCTCCCATTTATTTGAAAGTAATTTAATATTACGATAAGTTTATTCGATTTTTCATGAATAAAAAAAGGGAGCAGTACTTCAACAAAGAATCAAATTAGTCTTGAAGATTTTTTTTCCTCAAATTTTTGAAATTTAAAGATTTTTTTTTGAACACCGCGATGAACAATTCTGTTGATTAAAAATTCTTAATCGAAATTCAAATAATAGCTAGAGAAACCTCAATCCTGACAAAGTCCAGATCGGCCGATCGGCTTAAATTTCGGCTTAACATCAGTTAATTTGAAATTCTGAGCTCACTATAGCTACATGCTGACAAAATATTACACAGAATCATAGTAAAGCATGTAAAGTTCAATTTAAATACTTGAAATGGGTGGTAAATGGCTTTTCTCTATCAAAAAAATCAAAAATTGAGTTAAGCCGAAAAAATCGGCTTCGATCTCTGGATATTTATATAACTATGCGATTTTAACTACAAATCATATGAGAACATGTAGAGAGGCAGTTACTTTAACATTGCTTAAAGAACATAAAAATATCTGAATTAACACTTCAGTTGACATATAGTTTTACGTTTTGCGACTTCTTCGAAGGTTGTTCAGTAGTTTGTACTTGCCATAATAATTATGATTGGAACCTTTTTTAATTGAACTTACAATCTTAATGATTTCTTAATAAGCATCAAGATAAATTAACAATAAAAATTCTAAATTTGAAAAAGCTTCATCTCTTGTTAATGAAACTTAATAGTCTGACACCCACACAAAAGTAAAATTTTACAAAATTTTGCAAAATCAAAATTGTCTTGAAATTCGATTATTAACATAAATATTGTTCAATTCTTTATTTCTAGACTACATCAAGAATTAAGTTGCAAAGAAGAAGACATAAATTTTACAAATAAAATCTAAAGGAAAATCAAATTTCACATCATCAACAAAATTTTTCCTTTAAAGTTCAATGCATAGTGCAAATAAACTAAAGCCTTAAATCAAATTAAGCTAAAATATCAAGTGGATCAGGAAACGTAGAGAAAAAACAAGAATACAATTAGGGTTTCAAAATTCTTAAAAAAAATTAAAGTGGCTTGTGTGGTGTTTTCTATTTAATGAATGATTGATAAATAAAATAACAAAACAAAAGAAGGAATTTTTAAATAGAACGAATAAATTGTGCCAGTGTATTAAACTAGAGAGAGAAAAATAAAAAAAAAAGTAATAATTCGATTTCAGTCACACATGCATGACTGTTTGGTTTAATTGAATAAAATTAATCAAAGTGGCGCTTACTAATTTAACATCAATTGATGCTGATGAGCATCTCCTGAAAATAAACAATAGTATAGAATTAAAATGTTTAGCAGAAATCGAAGCTGACAAAGTCATTCATCGGGTGGTATTTAAACTTTTTTTTTTTTATTTTTTGTTTGTTCATTTAATAATTTTTTTTTGTTTTTTTTTTCAACATAAATTTTATTGAATGCATCGTATGGAGCCTGCATCATCATTTTTGATAAAAATAAATTAAAAGGAAATAACGAGAAAACATTTTGTTTAGTTTATAATCATTCAACGCTATTGCTGTCGATGCATTCTATATATTTTCACCATCAACATGTGTCACTGTGATGCATTCTTATGTCAATATTTTTCAACTCGATATTTATTTCTATTTCACAGGATGATGGCTCATTCTGTCCCGTCTCATTTGATCAGATTCTATGCTGGCCACGGACTAAAATTGATACGACAGCATCACAACCATGCATGTCGGACTTTCACGGTGTTAAATATGATGCCACATGTAAGTAAATGATGTAATGACTATGAAATGTACAATTTCAAAATCAGATATCATGATTTTTATCATTATTTTGCTTTTAAGTACTTTGCACCGCTCTCAATTACAGTTCCGCTATTTTTTATCTATTCTATTATTAAAAATATTTATATTTAAATTATAATATGGGTCAAGTAAGTGAATGTGATACATTTACTCCCATGTTTAAAACAAAATAAAACCAAATGAAATCAGCAAAGTTAACCTTTGAAGCATCAGAATAGAAAAAAATTTTAATCTCATAATATTTAATGGGGTTATTCACTTTTGATTCCGGATTATATAGCTGAGAGCTCAACATAAAATGTAATTAGCTCTCATGACAGTAGTTTTAGGTTAGAATCTAACCTAAATTCAAAAGGAAAAATTCCAATGTGAAATAATTTGAATAATGCATTCCTAAAACACCTGTTTCATTTCATAATCCCAAAAGTCTGTTTTGGAACAAGTTCAAGTCAAATAAATATTTTATTTCTACATTACTAATTATTCATAGTATTACTCTCATTAGTAATGCATCACATCAGCAGGTCAAGACAGCTTATTCTTGTTAGGTAATGATTACAAACGTGTTCAATTAAGCAAAAAACCGAAATTTAAATTCTGTACTTTCTTGACAGATTTGGATAAAATTGTCAGAATCTTGAAACATGATTGATAGAAGGACATTGAAATCACAAACATCAAGACCTTAAAAAATCTAAAAGTGATTAGCATCAAAGTGACATGATTAAATGTCTTCGTTGCTTTAATAAAATCACAATAATCAACGTTAAATTTTTGAACACTGTCATCTATTTTTTCATTTAAGCAATTCAACATAAATAATGTATAGCACATTTTAGTTAATTTCAAACGACGATTAAATTTATTGATTTCGCCGACCTCATTATTTTACTCATTAAATTAGACGCTTGTTTAAAAAAATGCTGAATATTTTTAATAAGGTTAAGTCCATTCAGCTTTTATCAAGCTTTTATCGCTTCTATAATTTGATGACAAAATATTGAGCAATTTAATGGAAAGTAGAGAAGCAAGAAGATGGTGTGATCAATCGAAAAATAATTTAATAATATTATAGATGAGAACATTCTTTTCTTCCTCTACTAATTTTTCTTTGATATCTTTTTCTATTAAACTAGTGTGATATTCCGTAATAAAATCCGGATAGCATTTAAACCCCCATTTCATGGGTTCAAAAGTTTTCTATTTTGATGATTTAGTTTTATGACAGAAAGACAAATATAGGCTTTTATATAATGTAATTTGATGTCTTGTAAATAGACAAGAATCTTAAATACATAGATTTTAAAGCTACATTAAAGATATCGGAAGAGATTTAGGCGAAAGATTTTTTTTTGTTTTTGCCATTATTGTCATTTTTATGCTTCGTTGTTCTGCCTATCTTTCATGTTTTCTGAATCATGAGGCTGCAAGCTAGCTGAGATAAAGTTTTATCAGATTCATGATTAAAAGATGATTTTTTAAAATTCAGCATGCTCATCACACAGCCTACTACCACTTTTCCTACCAATAATTCCAACGTTGTAGTTGTTTGAGCTGTCAATGATAATCAAATGAAAAGAATTTAATTACGAATTTTTTTACTCTTCTCTTTAATTTTCTTTTGTTTCGCTTTCTAGAAGCTCTTCGTGTTTTTTCTTCCCCTATTTTTAGCATTTAATGGTTACTCATTATCTTATCTTTTCGCCTTTTCACATTATTTTCATTTCAACTTTCTTGTTTCTAAGTCGAATATATCGAATTAATTAGAATTTAAAGAAATGAAAAAAATTAACCTTTAGCAAATATATGATAACAATATCAAGCTTAATTAGCAATATATTCATATTTATTTTATGGCAATTGTCGCATTCAATTCTATGCTGTGTATTTTATTTGAAAAACTGGTTTGTTTTTACTGATTCTAACATGAAAATAGTAAAAATTCTATTCTTTTGTCAATATTTTTGTTTCGATTTTTTTATATCGTGAAACGAAAAATCAACGTTTCTACGAGACTTATTGTGTCGCTTTTCTATGTGGGATGACGAAATATATAAAAATTGTCTATGTTTAAATATGTGCGGCTTAATTTTCAATTCTCTCATAGACATTCAATATTTTAATTCATCCACTTATTTGGAACTTTGTGCTATGGAAATTCGATATCAAAACTTATAAGAGAAGATGTTTTCGTAAACGCTGTGATAATTATTGATTTTCTACACATTAACATAAAAGTTTATGCTGCTATGTTTTAAATTAATTTGAAGAAGATCAATGAGAAAATGTGACTACCAATTTCAATTCTCTCTGGTTCCTATGAAAAGATGGGAAACTAAATCTCTATGTAAATTCCCCATAAAATTTGTAATCATAATATGAGGTGTGCAATAAACAATACAGGATTTAATGACCTAATAAAGAAATAGTAAAATTATATTTTTAGATCTTTATCGATTTACGCATTTACGAATCCGTATAGAAAATTGTTTATTACAACAATAAAGACAAACGATTTTTTTCTCATATTTAAAATTTTTCGGATTGTTATTAATAAGCAATCACAAAAAGGCTTCTTATTTCCTAACCGCAAGCTATTTAATGTTTTGATTCCATCATTGACAAGTAAAGTTGAAAACTGCATGAAATTTAAAAATAAAGAGCTTCTTACATGTCAGGGATAATACGCATGCCAGATTCAAAAATGTAGGGTAAGTATAACAAAAAATTTTAGGAAAAAGGTTCTTAGGAAATTAATCAAAACTTTTTAAACAAAAAGATTTTTTGGTTAAAAAAATTGAGATCATTCGTGAGAATTGAAAGCTTTTCGTTTATTTTTTTTTCATAAATTCTTGGATAATTTGACTATAAATTTTTTGTTGGTAACCAGTTTGCAATAGTTTGCTAATTTTAAAAATTAGAATGAAATTTGATAAATATTTTTAATTTGACGCACATTTGTAAGAAATAAATTTTTTTATCATCTAATACACAAATATTTATCACATATGTGATAATGAATTGTAGATTTTAAGTTTTAAGTATATGTGTAAGCTGGAAAACTGATTGTTAATTAATTAAATTTAATTCGTATTAATTTTTCTTATGAGATGATAATTACGAGCAAATCGTTCAATTCACTTTCTAGGAGTACAAACTTCAAAACCGTTTTTATGTCAATCTTTAAACTTTTTATATTCACATCGTTTTCACGTGTGAATCTATTGGTTTTGTTCAGATTGAAAAATCAGTTTTTCGCATTTTGTGAGAAAACAAAGCAAAATTGGTGATAAAAGGTCACAGAAGAAAAGTTTGTGCCTGAAATTTTACATCATTTTCAAAAAACAGATTTCAAATTGGTTGTGGCATTGCTGAGAAAATCGCAAAATACGCTTTCTGTAAGCAAACAAGCAAGCAAGCAAGTTAATCAGCAAGAAAACTCAATTACGAGACATTGTAGAGACTTCTAGTTTTTTACATTTGATCCGTGCTGCATTATAGAAGAGCTGTATTGTTTTTGGGCAAGGTAGGAACAGCCGTTGCTTCAGAAAAAGCAAAAAACTTTCCTTTCTTACGAATTTTTCAAATTAAAAGTTCACTGTGATTTTTTTTTATTTTAAATTAAACTTTGGATGAAAAAATTTTTTTTAAGCAAAGAACCAAGAAGGAAATACATTTTCAATTTTGGACTAGGGGCGACCCTAGTCAAAATCAATTTTGTCACTTTTTTCTTCGAGGGTTTATCCAAATGGATTGAAACTTTGCATAAATATTCTGGTGCTTAAAACAAATACAAATAAAACATCTTAAAACTTTTTTGAGTAAAGAACCAAGCAGGAAATACATTTTCAATTTTGGACTAGGGGCGACCCTAGTCAAAATCAATTTTGTCACTTTTTTCTTCAAAGGTTTATCCAATTACAGTGAAACTTTGTGTGAGTATACTAATATTTATACAAAACAGTTTTAAATATCTAAAGCAAGAAATGTATTCTATATGTCGTCAGACCCAAAATTTATAAATTTGGTTGTACATTCAAAAACAACGTGACTTAAAATTTTGTCAAAAAAAAAGATTTTTATTAATGCAGAAATGTGTGACCTGAAGATTAGAATGCGCATGCAAAGTTTTACTGTATTTGGATTTATTCTCGAAGAAAAAAGTGAAAAACTAGATTTTGACTGGACCTGTCCCAAGTTTATAATTGAAAATGTATTTCCTACTTGGTTCTTTGCTCAAAAAAATTTAGGATGTTTTACTTGTATTTGCTTTTAGCAATAAAATATTTATGCAAAATTTCAATCTATTTTTATAAACCCTCGAAGAAAAAAGTGACAAAATTGATTTTATTAGGGTCGCCCCTAGTCCAAAATTGAAAATGTATTTCCTACTTGGTTCTTTGCTCAAAAAAATTTAGGATGTTTTACTTGTATTTGCTTTTAGCATTAAAATATTTATGCAAAATTTTAATCCATTTGAATAAACCCTCGAAGAAAAAAGTGAGAAAATTGATTTTGACTAGGGTCGCCCCTAGTCCAAAATTGAAAATGTATTTCCTACTTGGTTCTTTGCTCAAAAAAATTTAGGATGCTTTATTTGTATTTAATTTAAGCACTAGAATATTTGTGCAAAGTTTCAATCCATTTGTATAAACCCTCGAAGAAAAAAGTGACAAAATTGATTTTGACTAGGGTCGCCCTAAGTTCATAATTGAAAATGTATTTCCTACTTGGTTCTTTGCTCAAAAAAATTTTTGGATGTTTTATTTGTATTTGTTTTAAGCATTAAATTATTTATGCAAAGTTTCAATCTATTTTTATAAACCCTCGAAGAAAAAAGTGACAAAATTGATTTTGACTAGGGTCGCCCCTAGTTCAAAATTGAAAATGTATTTCCTACTTGGTTCTTGCTCAAAAAAATTTTTGGATGTTTTATTTGTATTTGTTATAAGCACTTA